GCATGCGTACGTAAACATAGCGCTTTTTACTAATATCTAAACGACCGTGAAACCCCCAAAATTTGTGGGGATTACAAATTATATATGGTCATTATTTTTGAACGCTTAGAGATTGTAAAGCAATACTTAAAATTTATCGATGTATATAAATTTAGTTAAGAATTGTTAAAAAATTATTTCATCAACTTATTGTTTTTCTGTCACGTTTAGGGCAGGGGGGAAAAAACTTTAGGACTTTGTTTGTTCCCAGCTTTCAATAATTGCAACTTTTATGAAGTAGCTTCTAAAGCTTCTCCAAGCTCATCACACGCTCTACATTATCTTAAATATATTTTGTTGTGCGCACAACAAAATTGATTTTTTTTGTTGTGAAATATTTTTCTTATAACAAGAAGTACGTTTCTTGTTTTAAGAAATAAATATCCTACCCTGCAACTTATGTAAAGAATAAAAATTGGTTCTGACCCTAACCCTAATCCTAAACAAATTTCTTAAACTATGGTCGATAGATTTACGACTTTGCTACGAGTTCTGATAAGTTGTAGGCAAATTTTAAGGATTTTAAAAGTTTTGGAAATTATTGTATCCAAAAATTTGGAGGGAGTCTTATCCGTAGGATTTTTTTAAAACTTTTACTTAGAATATCAAAAATTAACCAGTAGTCTGGTGAAAAATGCAACTGCAACTAGTGACTGGTCTTTATCAACAAAAACTGCTTTCAGAAGGATTTCAGCTTTGATTTAATCCGTTTTTACATCTTTTCGGATCTTCCTTCGTTTTTAATACAGAACTTTTAACATACTTATATCGTGATCTCTGTCAAAAGATGCTAGCGCTCGTACTAAACACCTCATATAGTTTTACCATGATTTGAATTTTACTTCTACTGCAGGCTCATATTCAATATAGATGTGGCAATAGTAAATTAAAAATAGTAATTAAACTATTTGTTATTTTAATGACATATATTATTCTTTAATAAGACTAAAATATCATTACTTATGAAATTAAGTTTTACTTTAAAAACTGCAGGTCAAAAACCGCGATGCCCTGGAGAGAGAAATGTAGATAGCCATTCTATTGATCTCTTTGAGCATTTTATTACTCTTTTAGTATTTTTACTTTTTATTATTATTATTATATTACTTATTACAGGAAACTTAGCTAATTTTGTACAAATCCCTTTTAAATAGCCAAAGACTAAAGTGGATGAACCGTATGAGATCAAAAGCATCTAACAAATTTCTAATTGCTGTGTATTGGGCCTCAACCAATGACGTATAAATATAACTAGATAAATTGCAGTTTTTTGCGTATAACCATGGAAGTATAAAACAGATGGAAGTTCATCGAGACGCAAACATCAAAGCAAATTCAAATCGTCTGGGGAGTGTGCTTGAAATCGACAAAAAAAAAAAAAAAAAAAAAAAACAAGTTTCACTGGACAAAAAACAACAAAATTCGATGAAATGATTTTTATTAAAACATCAAAAAATAAATTATTCTAGGGATATGCTGCAAAGTTTTAACCATTAGTAATTGGAATTATTCAGCAAAAGGTTTATTAAAACTCGGTAATTATATAGAACCACTTGATTTTGAAAGCATATGTTAGTTTAAGCTTTTTTTCCTGCTTCAAGTTATAACACGACATTTGATTAAAAAGACAACTAAAACAGTTTTTAATTACGCTTAAATTAAAAAAAGTAAAATAAAATAATAAATTATATACAATAAATAATGTTCAATTATTATTATTCCTTGTAATAACTTATACAATTAATGATAGTATTACACTTTAATTATAAGTGTATTATCAGTATTATACAAATACTAACGACAGTTAGTATTAGTATAATACTGTTAGTATTAATATAATACTACTTTGTATTAATATTATACTAATACAAAAACAAGGCGTGTCGTTTCACAGGTATGATGAAACACTTACACTTATTATTAAAGTGTTTTTAAAATACCACCAGTTAACAAAAATAGTAGTAATAAAAATGCGCATTCGGTATAGATAAAAAACCTTCCATTATTTGTAATGACGTTATTATATAGCTAATGATTTGTAATTTCTATTCGCGCCGATTCACATTAGTCTGAAAAAAACAAAAATAAACACTATTACTATAAACTTTCAATACCAAAATGTAAACTTAATAATAATAATAATAATAATAATAATAAATGTAAACTTAAATAAGCTTAAACTGCAAATAGAATAATGTAAACATTTTTTTTTTTAATTTTAGGTGTCCCAAGAAATCCTTACGGTCTTATCACAGAGCACAGTCCAGAGTATATTTGGAAGAAACCAATCAAAAACGAATAATAAATTTAAATATAAAAATAAAAATAATAAAAAATTAATACTAACGAAATGATAACGATAAATAACTTTATGCATACGTAAGCGTAATATGATAAACAATAAATATTTTAATTTATGAACTACAATGAAAGAATTTTTAACAATTTTATTTCACAAATAATTTATGCGAATAAAAAAATTTATTATGATGTACAAGGATACATTATTAAGTGAAAACATAAAAAATGTTTATTCCAATGCAAAAAATGTTAGAATTAAATTCTTAATACATGATTATTCAAATATTTAAATTTTATATGCGATTTTTAATATGCACTATTTTGGTTCAAGTGGTTACAAAAACTTCAAGCTTTTTAATAAAAAAAATTAATGAAAAAGTTAGCTTGTTAAATACCAATAGTCACGTGGTTTAAACAAACCAATAATAAATCGAAACTAATATACATACAAAATTCATTTACATGAAAAAATACTATCAAACAATTTGAACGATTTGAAATATTAACTCCACAGCTACTCGTTCTTGGGCATTCGCCATGACACTGTGAATAGCCGGAACAAGTTTATCATCAAGAGTAGGCAACAACTCGGGGGGAAGCGTCGAAAATGCAGCTCCGATTCGATATTCAACCTATAAAATTTTTTTTACTTATGTCTGATATTTACCAATATAATACATGTGATATATGCGTTTGTAAAAAATTGAGCTTAAAAAAAAAGTACAAATATTGCTTAATTGCTTTTCGAAATAGCAACACAATCCCCAAATCCTTATTAAATAAACTTTAATTACGGCTAGTATTATCTTTCACCAGGGTGGCCTATAACTCAACCTAATTTTGAAATTTCGTAAATCGTAGATAATGACGTTTTTGATTTTCAACCGACAATTTTTGATTTTTATATTTACATCTAATTAAAACAAGTTCTACTAATTTTCCGACCTACTAAATCGTTGACCTACTGAACTTTCAACCTACTGTATTTTAAATTTTATTACTACGCCTTTCCGGTATGTGTTTTGTATATTTTGTTATTGATTTGAATATGAGCCAAACTTGATCAAACTTGGCGTAGTGGTTGAAACGCTGTCTTCAGAATCGATAGGTATAAGGCTCGATGAATGCTTGGAAAACTTATTGATTGTTAATTTAAAAAAAAGAAAAATTAGTAGTTTAAAAAAAACACCTTAAAAACACAGACTAGATAATCGGTTAAAAATTAATTTCTTTAATCGGTTGAAAATGAAAATCTATAAAATAGGTCAAAAAAGGAATCAGTCGAAAACGAAAACGTCATAAATCGGTTGAAAATAAAAAAGACTATAATCGGTTGAAAGCAATTTAGGCCTCAGTAGGTTATCTGAAAATTAGTTCCATTTTTTAATAGATGTCTTCTTTGTAGAGCAACTTAGCAGGTCGAAATTTTCCTAGGTCTAACTATCTGATACGTTCACCAGACAACCTCTACTCTTACCATTATCTTAAAAGTGTAAACTTTTACATACCAAATTTTTTTTTAGTGGAAACAATGTGATGAGTTAAAAAATTATATATATATATATATATATATATATATATATATATATATACATATATATATATATATATATATATATATATATATATATATATACACATATATTTATATATACATATATATATATATATATATATATATATATATATATATATATATATATATATATATATATATATATATATATATATATATACATATATATACATATATATACATATATATACATATATATACATATACATATATATATATATATATATATATATATATATATATATATATATATATATATATATATATATATATATATATATATATATATATATATATATATATATATATATATATATATATATATATATATATATATATATATATATATGTATATATATATATATATATATATATATATATATATATATATATATATATATATATATATATATATATATATATATATAAATAAAAACCTTTTTAATATACTTGATAATGTTTTTGATGAAGTTTTTTATTATACTTGATAACGAGGGTATCAATATTCCAATATTTTAATATATTTAATATACTTGATAACAAGAGTATTAATATTAACTTACATAATCTGCAGCCAAATTTATTCGAAGACCAATACGTGTCATTCCAACTCCAACAAGCAACATTAAATGGGGCGATAACGCGCTCATGCATGCTTTTGCAATGGATGAAGTCATTTGTCCTAACTCTCTTGCTGACAACCTAATACAATATAAAGAGTAACAGTAAAAATTTATAATAAATATAAAAAAACAATTATATATTCTCTAGAATTCACACACATGATTGGAATAGTGAAAGCATTTACCTATCTATATATCAAAAAATTAAATAGAATAATAAACTTCATAATACATAAATAAAAAGAATGTTTAATAATGTTTAAAAAATACAAGTTTTATCACTCAGTATTTGTGGTAGGGTCAAAAAGGACTGTTTTTTTTTTTAATTGGAAAACACTTTGCAATAGAGAAAAACAATGTAAAACTTTCATTTTTCATTCGTGCTTAATAAAAATATCATATTAAAAATAACTTTTGCGCTTTTATTACGACCTTTTTATTTCATAAAAATATGTAAATAAAATAAAATGTATAACCATATCATTATGAGATGTATTTCATATAAAATTTCACTTCTAGTTGTAAGAGATGCATTATTGTATCTTTTACAATTTAGGAGTGAAATTTCTCTGAGCCCAAACACCAATTTTGTTATCTCCAAGTTAACAAAACCTACTAACAAATGTGTGAATCTACGAACAAATGTAATGAACAAGAATTTCTACATTTAAAAGAACTATAAGTTAATAAAACTTGATCAATAACTCTCTCTACATTTCTAAACCACAAAAATCTAATGGATCGCCCTTGTTGTAACTGGCATTAATAATCATTTTACATATTCTTACAATTTTATACAAAAACATCAAACATAAGATTAAAAAAAAAAAAAGAATAACAAATCGTCTATATTATACAATAAAAACATGAACAGTATATACTATATTTTTGGCCATCTAAGATAACTTATAAGTTTATATTTGAAGAGACAACAATAAATTATATTGAACTATATGTTTTAGCTGTATGCTAAGCGGTTTTTAAATTAATGTCTTTTTTATATTACGAATATTAACACTTTTAAAGGTTGGCTCATCAAATAATTTAACAAATTTAAGAGTCTTTTTCAAAACATGTGCTTTATGTGATATAAAAATGTAATTAAAGAATGATAAACAACTTTTAAACTTTTATTTTAAACTTAAAGATCAAAATTATATATTAACAGCAATATTAATAAACCTTTGAACAGTGTCACTATCTTGAGGTAAAAAATAAACTTCAACCCAATGTATTTTGGCAGTTAAATTACTAGAAGTATAATCATAACTGTGCCTTATCTTCATATTTGTTAAGTTTTCAAAAGATGTGCCATCAATTGGGCTTGATAGTCTAAAGAAAAAAAAATTAATAACACATTTTGAAAATTTTTAACTGAACCAACTCAGTGTGTGTGTATATATATATATATATATATATATATATATATATATATATATATATATATATATATATATATATATATATATATATATATATATATATATATATATATATATGTATATATATATATATATATGTATATATATATATATATATATATATATATATATTTAACTAAACCAACTCAGTGTGTGTGTATATATATATATATATATATATATATATATATATATATATATATATATATATATATATATATATATATATATATATATATATATATATATATATATATATGTATATATATATATATATATGTATATATATATATATATATATATATATATATATTTAACTAAACCAACTCAGTGTGTGTGTATATATATATATATATATATATATATATATATATATATATATATATATATATATATATATATATATATATATATATATATATATATATATATATGTATATATATATATATGTATGTATATATATATATATATATATATATATATATATATATATATATATATATATATATATATATATTTAACTAAACCAACTCAGTGTGTATATATATATATATATATATATATATATATATATATATATATATATATATATATATATATATATATATATATATATATATATATATGTATATATATATATATATGTGTATATATATATATATATATATATATATATGTATATATATATATATATATATATATATATATATATATATATATATATATATATATATATATATATATATATATATATATATATATATAAAGGAAATAAGACAAAAAAAAAGAAACAGGAAAAAAGAAAAGAAAAGAAAGAGGAAAAAAAAAAAAAAGGGGGGAAAAATAAAAATAAAACAGAGAAGAAAATAAAAAAGAAAACAAGAGAAGGAAAAAAAAAAAAAAAAAAAAAGTATAAACAAAACCAAAAAGATAAAGAAAACAAAAATGTAAAAATACACAAATAAACAAACCTCGGACGGTCTAAATTCTCAGAACCACACCATTCTACAGAAAAAAAAGATGAATTAGACTGATCAGTTTGATCACCAATCCTAATTTGGTATTCCTTCATTTCCTTTAAAGCTGTTTTAAGTTCTTTCATTACATCAGCAGTCACTTGTATCATTACACCATCTGTGAATAAAATAAAATATAATTTGAAATATAACTTATAATAGAAATACCATTTTTAGACTTTTAAAACCTAAGAAATTACACATTTTTTAACTTTGAAGGGTTAAGAAATATGTATCTTACAACACCATACTTTTTAAACCTCATATACCTTCCTTACCAAAAAATGTTGTTTATGATAATTATGATGATGCTTACAAAACAATGAAAAATTGTTTATAAGGACGACGGTGATAACAATGTTGTTATTGCTATGGTGACAATGGTGTTAACAATATTGTTGTTTACAGTTATATTGATAAAATTATATTGATGGCTGTTGCCTGAATTTAATCTTTAAATTAAAAATAAAAAGTTCAGTATTTAATAAACCTTCAATAATGCTAGCCTTAGCTTTTATCCCATCAACATTATCTTTTAAAGCAGCACTGATCACCAAAAATGTTGCACAAGTCACTAAAAATAAAATTCAAAAGTAATGCCTCAGAAAAAATATAAGCTTTAAAATATGTCAGTAAAATTGTTGAAGTATGGAGGTGCAATATTTACATTTTTTATAAATCAAGGAACCAATTTCAAAAACAATAAACAGTAAAAACGCACAATTTTAAATAAAAAATCATTTGCCAATTAGTTTTAATTACAGTATCAACTATAAATAAAAATAGATTAAAAAAAGCATCAATTATAGAAAAGTTTCTGTAATTTAATTAAAATTTTGAATCATGTTCAAAATTTGTTACCTTTTCTATTTTCTTTCAAAACAATGCTTAAAGTTTGTGTTTTGTATCTCCCATCTTTCTCCACAGACACCAAATGACCATCACATGTTGATGAAAAATTTCCAGCCAAACTTAGGACATTATCTTCGGCAGCATTTAAAGCCTTTACAATCTGAAATATTTTAATATTACAAAAACATTACATTAACATTACAAATGGCATCACATACAATTATAAATAATAACAACCAGTTACTGAAGCTCATTTAAGGTTAAAAACTTAAAGGCATACTATCATCTACCACAAAGGTTTCAGTTGAAATCACAAGGTTTCCACTCAAAATTAAAAAAAAACAAACAAATCTTATTATTTTTTTATTAGTTTTTGACCTTGAAAACCTTTTTTCAACCGCTTTTGTGAGGCTGAGAAAACAAAACTTTTATGACAATTACACGGCTGTTTCACTCAATATAAAAGCGAGCCTGACGTCACGAGTTTATCAAAAAAAAAAGTATTTCCGCATAAAAAGTATAAAAATTCATTAACTTTAAAATAATAGTATTTTTTTTCTATAAATGCTTTCATCTTCAAATAAAAAAAATATAAAAGATCTATCTTTCCTTGTTAAATAAACATTTACATTAAACTGAATAAAAATGAAAGCTGTAAAAATATTGTTAATAATTTGGCATCACTTTTCTGATTTTTGCGATTTTTACGCAATACCTTTCTTAGGCCAACTAAGATTTGATAACATAGCTACATGGTCGATGGTTGAAATTTAGAACAGTTATTAATGAATGTCTGTTCTATCTAGATTTCCACAGACTTTGCAAGTTTTTATATAGAAAGTTAGTTTTTAATGCATTTATATTTTTGTTTTTATTCGTTTTGAATAAAAAACATAACATTTTTGAAAAGTCTGTGGATTTAGTAATACTTCAACCTTATATGAATAAGAAAATCAAAAAATTATTTTCTGTACCTCTAGCTATGTTATCAAATATGTTTTCAAACTTGGCATGTTTAGCAACATTTTTTTTAGTTTTTTTTGCATAAATTCTTGTTTACATTTTAAAGCGGTGACGCAAACTCTGATCATTACGTCCCCAACGATTATCAGATGCATTTTAAGAAAACAAACAAAACAAACGAGACACATTTTATAGAATAAATAACAAAGTTTCGCGGATTAATTTCTCTTGGATATTTGACTAATTTCAGATAAGTTGATTAATCCGATTTTATCTAGTGCATCTATTTGTCAATATTATTCTATTTAAGTTGTTTGTATTATAATTTTATTACTATATCAATAAAGATTATAAAGCAAAGTTTCGTGCATTATTTCCTCGTGGATATTCGACTAATCTCAGATAAGTTGCTTAATTCTTTTATTTTTAGTGTATTTATTTGTAAATATTATTTTATTTAATTTCTTTTATTATATTATTATTATAATATCATTATCATTATTTATGCGATGTATGCAACTGAGAGGGAAATTTTGAAACTGTACATCTGTTGGGAAGATGGTTGGGAAAATGAGTATAACTTTAATTTTGTAAAGCGAGTAATTGACACTAGTAAGATCACTAACAATGTGATTTCAATTTTATTAACAGTTTTTCATACAAAAGCGTTGTTTACTTTTTTAAGTTTTCTTTTGCCAATTGAGTTTAATATGCCTAATATTGATGTGTTAAATAAAATGTGCCGAAAAATAAAACAAAGAAAAAAAGATTCTAAAAAGTATTTTGAAGCTTCAAAAAACGAAGCATTTTTTAAAATGCAACTGTCTCCAGCTTCACAAACAAAAAAACAAAAAAAATCAGCAGATGCAGATAATTTTTATATTTTAAATAGGAATAAGGAACTAAGTAGTCAAGTTGAACAATTAATTTCTAAAGAAAAAAATAATGTGGAGCAAATAGATAATTTAAAAATACAGGTATCAAAGTTGGAAACTGAAGTTATATATTTAAATTCTAAAAACAAGGCTCTCAACGCACATTGTAACTCATTAAGTTCTCAATTAGAGACTATGAGTATTAGGCTAAAACAGGAGGAGCAGTTCCAACTTTTAAAAAAAAAAAAATTAAAAACAGCACACCGTAAATTTGCATCTGCTCGTGCCAAAAATGTAAGATTGCTAAAAAAATTTAAATTTGAAAAAAAAAGCAAAAATCAGTGATATAAACAAGAACAGTTGCCAAATTTGCAAATATTTTGCTAGCAGTGATAAGGATTTAGTTGTCGTTGATTCTTATTTAGACTATGACAACATTGGTTCCTCTGAATTATTCTGTGGGTTTAAATTAAGTAATCCACAGACTATATCAGTTAAAAAGCCAATAGTTGGTAAGAAATATACTTACATTAAGTTAGGAGATGGTAAATCTTATTCTAAGTTAGGTAGGCATGCTGCAGCTAGACGATCTAAACTTGCTTTTATATTCCTTCGATTATTAGCTTGTTCAGATTTGAAAAGTGATTTGTCTATGTTGTTTTGTGATTCTGTGTCTTGTAAAAAGTCTATGTTTCATTGTGTTGCAAATAAGTTGGGTTTAGTTAGGCAGTTAAGTGTTTCTGATGCTGTAGAGCTGCAGAGCCAATTAAGGATGCCCACGGCTGAATTCCGTAGGCTAAGACGTATTCTGTGTAATCTTGGTGCAAGGATTCTCCCATCTGAGCCCAAGATAAGACAAGAACAAGAAATGCGGACAATGCATGTTAGTAAAGAACATGTTACTGTAAAGTCCATGTTGCTTTATCCATCTGCGAATGAAGCACCTTGTTTAGTACCTGTATTGATGGTCAAGAATTTGATAACTTATATTGAAGAGGTTTTCAATAGTCTGCACGTTCGTGACCACTTCAATTCTGATGTCGGTTTTTGCGAAGAGGTATGGCTCCTTTTTGCTGGGGATAAGGGTGGGAAGTATATGAAATTCCATTTTGAAGTTGTCAATTCTAAATCATCAGGGTCTGTATATGATGTTCATTTATTTTGTATGTATCAGGGTTCAGACTGTCGTGAGAATATTGCCTTAGTTCTCGGGCATTATGCCAACGACATTAAAAGAATTCAGTCATCAGATTTTAAGCTAAAAGGCAAAATAGTCAGGTTGTTCTTAGGTGGAGATTTTCATTTTATCGATGATGTTCTGGGACAACAGGGTTCAGCTGCTAGCTTTCCTAGTTCTACAGACCTAGTTAAGTTGAATTCTCTAAGAAACCATGCTTCTATGCCTCACACACCTGCTAATTGTAACATCTTAAGGAGGACAATACAATCTCTGGAAAGTGCTTACAATGAGAACTTGTGTGAAGATAGACAAGGTGGAAACCTAAGAGCTCTAGGTAAGTTTCATAATTCAATTATTGCTCCTGTGATTTTCCCCATAATAACTTTAGATAATGTAGTGCCACCTGTTTTGCATATTATGTTAGGAGTTATGTTAAAACTTTATAAGTTATTGTTGAAGGAGTGTAAGACTTTGGATTGTCAAGCTGTTTCGTCTTTGTCGCATAATGAGAATGTGAGAACGAATGAATTGTGGGCTGCTAAAAGCTTTGAATGTTCTAAAACAGCAGACTCTTTACGTTTATTAGGAAATCAATTTGTAGACGTTGCAAATCTACAGACTCGTTGGTTAGCTTTTGATAAAAATATTTCTGAATTGGAATGCATATCTCTAAACTCCTCCAATAAAAAAAAAACCTGTAAACAGCAAGAAAAGTGTGCTAGTATCAGGTGTTTAATTACTAAATATGATTGTAACATTGATTGGGTGCAGTGTGGTACGTGCCAAAAATTGTTCCATCAATTTTGTGAAATTATTGGTGGTTCGGAAAAGAATGTATTGTGTGATATAGAGAAGTATGAGTGTTTAGCATGTCAGGGTGAAGATTTAGAATGTCTTGACCTTTATATTTCTGAAAAAATTTCTTTTATACGCGCACAGCGCGAAGTTTTAGACGTTGAGTATATTGGATTGCAGATAGAGTGTGAAGACCTAGAAAAAATATCTATAAGTAGCATGGGGACTCATGAGAGGTCTCTTTATAAGGCCCTTGAAGATATGAAAGTTGAGCGACAAGCTTACCATGGTAATGTATTTGTAGGTAATCATTGTAAAATAGTATTAAGAAACCACTATAAACTTTGTAGTGTTATTGATGATGAAGCAATTAAAAATAGATTTGTACGTGTGTTTAGTGTTTTTAATAACTTGCAACCTATTCTTTTTAAGCGAAAATTTCTTTCTGATGTCGAAATTTCTGAGCTTCATCAATATATAAATTTATTTGCTATTGAGTTTCATGCTTGCTTTCCAAAAGAAAGTATCACGCGAAAAATGCATGAACTCATTTTCAATGGTTACCGGACAATATTGTCTGTAAAATAAACAGACTTTTAAACGATAAAACAAATTTAACTCAATATGTATAAAATTTTTAAATAAATTTTGTAATAAACATGTAAAATAACTTTTCATTTCTCAAAAAGGTTTATTAAAACATTTTTTTTTTAAATCTTAATAATGGTCAGTAAATTAGCTTTTTATTGGCGCAATAAGTAAACAACTATTAAGTGCAAATTGTTAAATAATTATTTAAGAGTTTTTAATTGATTGCTTTCATTCTAACATTTTTTTAAAACCTTTTTTCATTCCTAAACAAAAAAATTCTTAAAAAAATATTTCAAATTAGAGGAATAATGGCGAAAATTCATTTTATAGACAAGGTCTTTGTCTTGTTTGTGGTCATCAAATTTAGTTTAAATGTTTGAAAAGTTAAAAAAAAAATTAAACTTTTTACATCTAAGATAAATTATATAAGATCCTTAATTTACAAATAAGAGAATTCTATTCTGTTTTAATGCCTGTAATGTTTGTTCAAAATAATAATAATTTTTTATTACAATGATTTTATATATTAGGTAGATGCCCATTCTGTTCCTATTTTCAAAAGTTTATTATATCTATGCAATGCCTTTGCTCAGGTTAAAGAATGGAATAAAAGTCTAGCATCAAATGTATAGCTAACTATTTTAATTTGTGATCAGAGCAACTGGTATGTTTGTTGGATATGATTTTGTATGTTTATGTAGTTAATTCAAAAAACGTTTTATCCTTTGTTATGTAATATGTAACATTTTTTATATATATTAGATCTCCGTTCAATTTTTATCATCAAAAGTTAGTTCTACCTTCGCAGGACCTCTGCTCTACATACCTCCTCTCTGCTTAAAGAATGGAATATAAGTCTCATTTATCAAGTTGGTGTAAAAATTTAGCTTGATAAATTAAGAAGTTGTAAACTTTATTATCACAATTGCCAAGTTGACCAAATGTTCTTCTGGTTTTAAATGAATTATGTATGAGTCTAGTATCAACTGGGTGTTCAAAGATAGTTTACTGCTTGAAGAACTTATCAATGGACCAACTAATTATAAAACAGTTTTTAATGAAAATAAAAACGAATTATCAAAAAATTTAAATCAGCTATTTGTGTATATTTAAACACTTTATTTTTTGTGAGAAGAGATTATTGATACAAGTACCATAAAATAATTCTACTACCAAAAGCTAGGTTAATTCAAAACCTTTAACTCAATTTTGGTCATGAATTATTTTATTAGAATTGATGAGTTTTTATTTATTAACTACCTAACACCATATTATTAGAACTTTATTTTGTAATGTAATGATTTTATCAGCGTTCCAAAATAATTTTCCAAATCAAGAACTTCTATATTAAAAAAAGTACTCATTTAACAACTAATCCGCCCTTATAACGACGTTTTTCATAATTTTGCGAAAAATGTGGTTTGCTTTCACAATTTGATTAAGGCTGTTTTAGTTAACCTTAAATAATTAAGTAAGGTTTTTTTGTTTTCATTATTGTCAAACAATAAGTGTATTTGATAATAACTATTAGGAATATATTTTTCTAATTTTTTTTTGATAAAAAGTAACATCAAATTACAAAAATTTAGCCAAATTCAATATATGTCATATTTATTCTAAACTAAAAGAAGTTTTTCTACTAATGCATTAAATGTCATAAGGTAAAACATTTTATTGATGTCTTAATTGTTTTTACAAAACAAAATTACCTCTTATATTTCAAAAGTTATAAAAGTTTTAGTAACACCCCTTTAGTCAATATTTTCAAAAATTAACAAGAAGCCATTAAGCTCGGTTTGAAACAGCCGTGATTAACAATTAGAAATAAGAAAGGATGTGTTTTCCAATTTCTAGTTATCATAGCAATGAGATATCTTAACTAGAAATTTAACTAAAATTAATAAATTAAAATTTTTTTAATTTTAGTTAATACTAAAGAGTTATTGATGGTTCTAAAAGGAAAAAACTCAAAGCATTTAAAAAATCAGGAAACAGTATTTATATATTGTGCATAGTTCAGAGAAAAAATTAAAAAACATTTATTTATGCATAAGATATGAATGTTCAAAGCTTAAGTTTAACTTAGGTGATTTTAACGCAAAAAAAAAAAAATAATTAAAAAAAAATATATACAGATTAAAAGAAATACAGGGCTATTCCACGTTGTACAAAAAGTTTAATATAAATTTCAAATTCTAGAAAAAAACTAAATGTTTCATTTAAAAGTTAAAGGTTTGTAGTTTCTAAAAACATGTAGAACTGGTTTTCGAAGAATTTTACGATTTGATGCTTAAACTTTAAACAAAATTTTTTAGACTTCAAATTTAAATTATTTTTTTAGTAAATCATTTTGAAACCTTTTTTTTCCAAACTTTTTAAAATTTCTATGTAGATTTGTCTCATGCAAAATATATATAGGGCTCTTGCTATTCAAATTGAAAATTTATTATAATAATTAAATAGTCTTTCATTGAGTAATTTTTATTTGGTCTTCTTTAAGTTCACGCTGTGACATGTCATGCTGTGACACTAATAGTAACATTTTTCATTCTAGCGTAAGAATATTTATTAATTTTAAATAAATATTTATAAATTACTTGTAACTAAAATAGGGCAATAAATATCAATAGATATTTAAATTTAAATTTTTTTGTGTTATGTGTCTTAAGTTTATGTCATGTTGTGACAACACAACGTGACATTTTTTAAAATTAAATTTTTTAAAGACTAATTTTTATTAAAATGTTACACAAAAATTTATTCTGAATGTTTGTTTATACAATTCTTATAAAAAGTAACCTTTCACAAACAAATTGTTTATTTCTTTGTTGATAGTAATGAAAATGTCTCTGACCCATGCTGAATGCCAGAAAGTATAGAGAAAAACAAATGCAAAAATTTGGTCCGGATTTTATAAAGGAAAAGGACTCGATATGGAAAAAGGAAAAACGAAATTCTAATGCTGAATTAGCACGTTTAAAGGACAAGTTAAGAAAAAAGTAGAGTTTCTTCATCTAAAAAAACGTCTAACACCTCTCCTGCTTACAAATCATCTTGTACACTTGGTAAAGCTGTTAAAAAAGCAATACATGCTCTTCCAACTTCTCCTCTTAAAAAAGCAACTGTTGTTAAACAACTTGCAATTCAGCTTAACAAAGATTTACCAGATATGCAACCAACACATGGACCTTATGCTCTTAATGGTGAAACAAAGCTATGCGTCATTAGTTTTTTTGAACAAGATGGTATATCCCGTCAGGCACCTGAAGTAAGAGATATGATTGTTTTAAGAAGTAATAAAGAAAAAAAGAAAATGAAAAAAGGTATTTAACAATTAATATAAGTGAAGCTTATCAAACATTTAAAAACGAACACAGTATATGGCTTGGCTTGAGATCAGGCCATACACTTTTATCAAGCTTAATGCCTAGAAATGATTGTTCCTGTCAAAAACATGAAAACATTATCTTGTCACTCAAAGCAATTTCATTTCATCAATTTAAAAATTCCCCTTTATTCAAATGCTTTACCAAATACTTTAGTGTGTGACGAGAAAAATGATAATTGTTGGAATAATCTTTGTAAAGCTTGAAAGAACGGAAAGTTATTTCTCAAAACATACCAATTAGATGAAAAAAACCACGATAAAAAAATTACCTGATACCTTTGGGAGAAAGTTACGCAACTTAATGGAACTAAGTACCTTGAAAAGCAATAAAAAAAGACAAAGCCATAATTTTGTATAACAATGTTTGCAAAATGCTACCCAAATTTCTTTTGCATTATTTTATAAAAGGAAAACAATCAATGAGTTATGAAAACCAAAAAAAAGTTTTCAAAAACAATCTTGATTCAGTTTGGTTACAAGTTGACTTTGCAGAAAACTTCTCAACTTTCTGGCAAGATGCAGTTCAGTCAGCATATTGGAACAAAAAATTAATAACATTATTTATTGCTGTTAGCTGGCATGGTGACTCTTGTAAATCTGTCTTTATTATTTCTGATGACTTGAACCATTCAAGAAGTTCAGTTATTTATTTTATTGACTTGTTAATAACTAACCTTATTAGAAAGGATGTAAAATACTAGTATTTTACAAGTATACTTGTAAGTTTGGTCTGATGGTCCTAGCAGTCAATTTAAAAATTATTACATAATAGCTTCAATTCCATGGCTTGAAAGCAAGCACAAAATTAAAATTTGCTGGAATTACTCTCCAACCTCTTATGATAAAGGTCCATGTGGTGGTTGCTAGGAGCAACCATAAAAAGATGTCCATGTGGTGGTACCATAGCAACCATAAAAAGATTAGCAACACAAAAAATTGCTCGAAGAGAAGCTCTGATTAATGACGCAACAGCATTTTATAAAGCTGTCAGAGATAAGAATCAAGTAGATGTTTTTATGGTTGCTGCTCAAGTGCATCATACTTAGTTAACTAGACAAAATTTAATAAAAAAACGTAGTTAAATTTTACAAGACTTTTTTAAAAATTATTGTAAATGAACTGTTTTGTTAAAGGTTATTGTTATACCAATCTTACAAAAGTCCGAATAAATTGGTTTCTTTTGTTTCAACTGCCTTTTTGATGATGTTATTGTCTTAATATTCAAAGATTTTGTACTGGTCCCACCGTGATGTCACGATGTGACATAAACTCCGTTGATATATTGATGTGATGTCTCTATTTAAATTTATAAAACATTTTTATAATGTTATGAAACTATTATAACACCTTTTAAGTATCCAAGACATAACAAAAAAATATTTTAAAATATCCACAAGAGCTGAACTACTGTCATTTCTTCTAATGACGGAAAATGCTAGAAAATTTTTGTCACGTCGTGATGCAACCTTTTAATGTGTATACCTATATAAAAGTCTATAAAATATTAAAACTAAATAATTTAGTTTTTAGAAACTGTAATGTATATGAAAATTTTTTAGTATCTTTAATTTTTAAATTTTTAATTTTAAATGCGCTAAAATCTGATGTTTTTCCAAAAAAAAAAAGTCAAATGTCACGCCGTGACAACGTGGAATAGCCCTACATCAAGAAATTTTGCTGGGTTTCATAACTGGTTTAATATTTCAAATTCAAAACCAATATAACCATGGTTTCTTACAACAACCAACATTTATAAAAAAAAAAAAAAACTTACATCATCAATTCTATATTGAGGAAGTTTCAGAACTGTATCTTTTCCACGCAAGTTGATTGTAACTCCAGCAATTCTAGGTATTGTGTATTGAAAATTTCTGAAATCCTATTTCAAAATGAAAAAAAAAACTCAACATAAAGTATTTTTCATTAATAAGTACATATTATTAAACATATATTTACAGTAATTAATAAATATATAAGTGCAAATATATACTTTGCACTCAATAAAATAAGATTGTACTTTATTGTACTGATGTTGTTATCAACTTCAACATTGTACAAACTAGTGTTCAACTAAAATTGACTAAAAGTCACCAAAATCAAAAGCCAAAATTAGTAGGCTTTGAAAAATCGAACAGTTGATTTAATTGAATATGGATTTGAATCGAAGTCAATTTAGTTGAGTAATAATCTTAAAACACTTTTTATTTAATTTTTTAAATTTTAAACTTGTTTGTTTAATAAGAATAGAAGGTAGGGAAGAGCGAGGCACCATAATACACTTTTGGTTTTTGTTTTCTAACAATTTTCTTAATATGGGTTTTTTTTTGGCAAGTGGTTTAATTTGTAGAATAATTTTAAACCTACAATATTAAATTTAGTATTTATCAAAATATAAAAGGTTAGACTATGTATGTATGTAGTATAAAGTGTGTGTGTGTGTTTGTGTGTATACTTTTATATTGCATATGTATGTATATGCATATGCAGTATAAAAGCATATGTATGTATATATATACTGCATATGTATGTATATACATATGCAGTATATATATATATATATATATATATATATATATATATATATATATATATATATATATATATATATATATATATATGTATATATATATATATATATATATATATATATATATATATATATATATATATATATACACACATACACACACATACTTTAGTTAAAAATATGTATGTATACATAAATATTAAATTTAGTAACACTTTGACTAGTTTTACTTCATATGGTCATATCTTTTGAACCCTAAGATATTTTTTATTGAATTTTTGAATATGTATCTGAAATTTGATTTTTACAATGGATCTGGAATTTGACATCCCTGTAATAAGAGAGACATTATACAGAACCTAAAAATACTGTTAATGTCAACAGCTTAATTATAGCTTTTTGTAAACCTAAATTTTTATGCAATCATAAAACATATTTACAAATTTTCAGGTTTAAAAACAATAAAGTTTTTAAACCTGAAAAATTTAAGACTTTCTATAATATCAAAAGAAAGCATGATATGTCAGATTTTACTATTGATTCAATAGCAAAGGAATTAAGAAAGATTTGGGTAGATTAGGTGTGGAATCTAATTCTTCCAAAAAAAAAAAAAAAAGATATTGTTCTAGATATGTTCTAGATATTGTTCTAGATGTTGTTCTAGATATTGTTCTAGATATTGTTCTAGATTTGTTCTAGATATTGTTCTAGATATTGTTCTAGATATGTTCTAGATACACATGCTCTAGATAACTATAACTCAGTGGAAAAAGTGGAAAAAAAAAAGTTAAAAAAAAATAAAACTATTGAAACTGTCATTAAAAATCTAGTGTATGTCAAAGATCCAATATCTCTAGTTAATCGTGTTTGCACTGCTAATGGACTAGAAATTGATAATGTTATTTTTTGTGTAGGAATAGATAGTGACCAAAGATCTTTAAAAGTTATTATAAATGTTTTTAATAAAGAAGTAAATTGCGAATCCAAAAAAACCAAGAATACTGGCATTAACAAGGTTATGACATTAGTTTTTGCCAAAAATGTTAACGAAAGCCACACAAATCCTCAAATTCTTATAGAATAACATATGTGCGACATAACAATACGCTAAAATTCTTCCTTGCAGCAGATCTTAATATGTTGAAAAACGTGTTTAAAAACTTGCTGAAAGTGGATTTAAAAAATGCTCTATGCAACTCTACAAGAATTTTATACATCCATGTCTCCTAAATGAGATTGGAGAGATGTATGTGTTTGATCCTTCCTCCAGAACTTCATTTACTGATGAAGATTATCACAGAGATTTCAAATATGAAAGAAACCTGATGTCGCTTTTTGGTTAAAAAAACATGGAATTATTTGGCATGTGTATAATGGAGGTGGATTGGATGGCAGAAATTTATCATAGATTATTTTTCTTTTTACCAACTAAACTGTTAAAGTCTGTAGAAAGTAGAAAGTCTGAGAAAGTAGAAAGTCTGTATCTGTAGAAAAAACTGCAGGTAAATTTTAAATTTACTTAACTTTATAAACTATTTATATATTAAAAGTAAATTATTATTAAAAAATATATATTTATTGAATCTAAAGCAACTTCTTACAAATGACACTAAAAATTACATTTAGTAGTAAACGTGTTTTGGAATGAAACTATGATGGTTATGCTGATGTCATTGCAACATATATAAGGAAATTGAAGATAACAGTAACGTAAATGTATAATAACTCTTTTTAATGGTGTCTTTTAAAATAATTATTTAGGAAAATCAAAAGTATATAAAGACTACATTCAACCATAATCTTTCTATGGGATGGTAAGGTCATATAATTGAACACCAACTTATCATGTTTTTAAATAGAACTAAGCTGCCATTAGGAGTATTTTTTAAGCAATGTTCTGAATCTTTTCATCCGAATATGTTGACAACACTGAGCAGATTCTCAACTTCATATTTTATTCATAGAGTTCATATTTAGCCATGGAGAGCTTCTTAGAAAGACAATAGTCGAATATTAAAATCATAGAATATTGATTCTTTATTTGCTATTGATTACATACTTTATACATATCTTATATATTATATATTATACCATATAGTTTTAAAGATTATATTATATCAGTTAATTTTATGGATTATATTATACTGTTTTAGAGTAATATAATATACTAGTTGAGATCGGACCCATAAAAATACAGGTGTTTGTAAGTCTAATCCAAACGGAACTTTTTAATAATTTTTCCATATATATCCTTGCTTTCCGGATCTGTAAAATGTGGGTCTTTACCAAACCTACCATTTTTATACATACCTATTCCACACTGATTATTTCTATACCTATTCCTTATTTACTTAAATACTTTTTAGTAAAATAATTTTGTTCTAAAAAAATCTATTTTTATTATTATTTTAGTAAAATCTATTTTTATTATTAAATCTATTTTTATTATTATTAAAAATCTATTTTTATTATTATTTTTATTTATTATTTTATTTTTATCTATTTTAGTATTTTGTTCTAAAAAAATTTGTGCAAAATAATTAACATGCAATTAAAAATTATATGGATCTGTAAAATATGGGTCTTTACTAAATCTACCATTTTTATACGTATCTATTACACGCCTATTATTTATATACTTATTACATATTTACTTCAATATTTTTTAGTAAAACAAATTATTCTTGAAAAAAATATTTAATAAGAGCAAAAAACTTAACATGCGCACTTTTTCCTTTTTTTTCATTGATAGCTCAGTGGTTAAGTGCACTGTCATCAGTGTTGTTTTTTTGGGGGAGGGGGGTTTAAGACTTCCTTTTTGTGTAATAAATTTGAAATTTTTTTAATCTTGCTTATATATTTATAGCAAAAAAAATTAAAATTTAGCAGAAAAATTTCTAAAATTTAAAATAAATTTTTGAAGTTTTCTCATTTTATAGATATATTATACATGATTATTCCATATAATGCCTGCAAACACAACATATGCTAAAGACGCATACACTTACACACGTTTGTACGTAGCGCTATACAAATGGAACTAATAAGATCTTAGACCACTAAAAAATAGTCATAAAAAAAAAGTTCATTCTTATGATTATGATTACAAACTAAAGAATAATATTAGATGCTTATCTAAAAATTAAGAAAAAATATTTTTGCGCATTGATGTCGGTTTGTGGCAAAATAAACCATTATGCGCCAAGTTTCTTTTGGATTTATCTACCATTATTTGATTAATTTTATTTTTGTTGCATACAAATGCATAAAAATATATAAAACTGGTACAGATATATTATTTCACAGATAAGAGATTGTATCTATTACAATAGTAATAAATAAATAGTTTTTGTCTTTATTAGAATATATTCCATAAAAATATATTCCATATATCTTTATTAGAAGGAGTTTTTTTAAAAAATTTAAATAAAACCTTATTTCTAGTTTGTTTTTCTAGTTTTTTGCCATAAATAAATGGTCAGTTTAAATTTTTACTATCACAGTAGACCTCTAATTATTAGAAAAGTTTACTTATACGATCCTGAATAAAATGTTATATAAGTGGATTTTTAACACTTTCTAACCAATATGTATAAACAAATAACATATTTATATATATATATAATTTAGTAAAAACACTTATCTAATTTTTAGTGCTTTTCAACAGCATGTTTCACCATCAGTAGGTTCATCAAGAAGTGATATAACATATTTCAAAAATTTCATTTCAAAATATTTGTTGTATCATCCATACTGTAACTGTTTTTCAAAACGCCTTAATATAAAAAAAAATCAAATTTGAATTTTTTAAAAAATAAGCTAGTTTAGATGTCTACAAACGTTATTGAATACATATTTTTTAAGAGTTCTAAAAAAATTAATAAAAATTATTTGTTTCAAAAAATGTTTTACAATGAGTCTCTCCTAACAATTCTTTTTCAATTGTGTTTTTCTTGAAATATGTAATAAGCATATTAAGGCGTATTAAGGCTTTGAAAAACAGTTGCAGCATATATTTATAGTAAAAAGTAAATGTAGCAAAATAAACACTATCCACTTGGCCACACTGGCATGTTGTTAAGCAAAGATTTTAAAAACTATATAATAATTTTTTTAATGGAAAAAAATGTTATAGATCGAAAATAAGGAGAGCTTGACGCAATGCAATTTTCAAGTAATAATCAGACTGTAAAACTTGATGTTTCAGTATGTTTTAACATTACTTAATTTAAAGTTTATGTACATTAGATAATTGCATACACGTTCATTCATGTTTTCTTATAAAACAAAGTGCTGCAACTTTTTCTCGCCACTACCTCAGTTGCAATGGATGCCAAGGGTTCCATGCCAAA